TAAGATTACGTCATTAAGCATGTTGATGGTATGTACATGATGGGTTTTGTACTCTTACTCTGTTTCTATCTCTGTTCCTGTACTCCGTATAAAATCTTCCTTCCCGCGTCTCTCTTAAAGGAGAAAAGGAGTTGTGGTGGTTGGAGTAGGTATGTAGTGTATTGTTTATTGTATGTAACATGGGTATAGTTATACTTCTAGCTAGCTAAACTATTGCAATGTATGGTCTTCTGTCTTTTCTTAGAAGCAGGTGAGTGGCGAGTGCTTGGTTCATAATGAAAGAAAGAGGAAGATGGAATCGGCAATATGGAAGATTCATTCGGATTTTTCGGGTATGTTCGATAATTATCACTAATCTGTAATCTGTATTCGTATTTCTGGGCTTGGTTGTGGGGAAGAGGGCAAAGAAAGCTGAATAGTAAGTACAGAGTAGTATGGATGGAACACAGAAAAGGATTCAGATACGTATAAATAAGTTATATTTAATACAAATACACATAAATCTTGATAATATTTCTAGAATAGATTCAATAACACCCTCAATATCAAAACCAGCCTTCTAGAAACAATAGAATGAATCAATCTTTGAATCAGATGTGAAATAACAACAATTTAACCAATCATATCATAAACAAGGATACTACTCCGCAAAGAATTCTAGGCCAATTTGCTTACACATCCCCAATTTCGTCATAGTAATTCTTCCATACATTTCCACTCCTGCCTGAAATATAAGGATTATTCTACCGAACCGATTTACCCCTCTTAGAAATCAATCAATCCTTAGCAAGCAAGCAAGCACCCAAAACGCCTCTTTTACAGCCTCACATTACATTTTACACATCACATCACATCACATCATCTCACCTCCCTCACAACCCAAACACTACAAATACTCTTCAGATATCTTTTGAAGAGTTTTCATATGTCATTCTTCACAAGATCTCTTTCCCAATTACCAAAAGTTTCGAAAGTTTCCTCCTCTGCAAATAATCTTATTTTTCACTCGATTAATAAAAGATCTTTTCATCAATCTATCGCAAATATGGGTGTTCACAATATTGCAAGGTGAGTTTTATCTGTCCTTTTCTTTGAGGCTATATTCTTCTTGCTTGGAGGTCTTTGGTATTCTGGTGATGGATAGCTATATCGCATCAATATATCTACACTCTCGAGCCGAAATACTTTGTCCTCGATAATGTGGGTAGGAAGTGGGGGGCTTTGAAGAGCTTTTCGAAAGAGATCCGTGGTGGAAACGCAACGAGATAAAGTACATGCTAACAAATAAATAACAGCGCGTCTGATTTCAAGACTGCTCTCACCGATAACAGCGTCGTCATTGTCGATGCTTTCGCAACATGGTGCGGTCCTTGCAAGGCTATCGCTCCTAAAGTCGCTCAGTATGTTATTCTCTTCTTTCGACACCGTCATTCTCCACGGGTACACCCATCACGATTTTTTCAAGACAACCTAGCTACTAAGGAATTCCATCAATATTAATAAATGCTAACAAACCCATCACACAGATTGTCAGAAGACTACCCCGCCGCCCATTTTGTCAAAATCGACGTCGATGAACTCCCGGAGGTAGCACAAGAACTTGGTGTTAGAGCTATGCCTACCTTTTTGATCTTCAAGGGATCAGAGAAGATCGGAGAGGTTGTCGGTGCCAATCCTCCCGCATTGGAATTGGCTATTCAAAAGGCGCTGGCGGCATAAGTCTGATGTGTAGTGGATGATGATGTGGGTGGGTGGATGATTGTTATTTGGTTCTTGAAGCGGATGTTATACTCATGAATGATATAGAGTCCAGATGGATTCAGGTGGATGGGTTAGTCTTTTGTTACAAGGGGGATTAGCGTGAATGATGAATCGATGATTTACAAATATATATTTTGGGTGTATGATGAGATTGTGAATCATGAATGAAGTACTTGTATTTCTACGAACCACGATATTAATCACTGGAAAGTCCCTTATTCGTAAACATCTGTATACATTGATCCAAAAGCTTCCCAAATCCATTAATCCACTGCTTTCTTCACAGCTATATCTCACTTCCTCCCATATCTCAAATTTCTCTCCTTCCGCGTCTAACCAAACGAAAAAAGGAACGATTTGTTGATTAATCGACAAGTACAATTATATATATGCACAACAAGCTAGCTTATAGCTTGATTTTCAAACTATACAATATATATATCTGATAGGGATAGGAATGTGTGTATTATTAAGTAGTGCGGTTATGTGATATGTATGATTAGGTAGAGGAAGGAAGTTGAATAGAGTTGATTTGAGTAATTTAAGTTGAGTTGAGTTGAATTGACAGAAGCAGAGTGGAGTAGAGTGGATGATGATGATGAGTGTAAGTACTAAGAGGAGATACCTAGTAGATATATGCATACGGACTTTCTAATCGTCAGGACAGTATTATAAAATCAAGTACAGTTCATTCATTATACAGCATCAGCAAACTTCTCATTCGGAAAAGCACATCACAATTTCATGTACACCAAGTTTTTCTTTATAAACTTCCAATTCTAAAAAAGAAAAGTGATCTATCAAACGCAATGACTTTCAATAGACAACAAGACAGTTCCAACAATTCTGAAAATTAGGTCTATCAACACCAATAATGAATCCCAACAGAAGAATTGCAACATTCCATAAACGCCAATCCATCCATCCCAATGTTCCATGTTCTATCCCACGAGACTCAATAATGCTATGCATGCATCCAACCCATTTTGATATCCATACAATTCCGTCAACGCCAAGTCATAAACGCACCCATCACCTGTCAAACCACGCCCAACTCTCCCTATTTTCGCCCTTCCTGCAAACACCCGATATTGAAAACTCACCTGCAACGATTAAGAGAGAGCATGCCTTGATGGTCCGGATCAAAGTCCTAGGTAAAAACTAGAGATCCATCAAGGTCAGTCCCTAAAAATCAAAGCAGACGAGTTTGCAATATTGAATAGATGCTGAAAGGTCGCTTTCGAGCTGAATTGCTTGCGGTATGAAAGGATCCGGCTGCCAGGTTCTATTTACAATTGAACAGAAAAGACATGCGAATATTCAAAATTTAATTCTCGGGAATGCCCGCCAAGAAGGTGAACTGACCGCCGCCAGCTGCCCAGACAAGCTTCTTCCCCTCGATATTCTTGTTGTTAAGCTCTTCCGCAATGTAAACATCTTGATCGTTTTCCAACCCAGTTTGTCTGTATGTATTGAATCCCCAAGAATGATGAGGACTTTTGCCCTCTGGACCAAGGACGATGCTATGATCACTGCCCATAGCAATGTATGATCCCTTGAACGGGAAGGAGAGTGGTGTTTTAATGATTGATCTTTGATCACGCTCATTTCTGATGATGACATCCTCTGGAAGTGCCTCGACGTCATGACCAGAAAGGCCATCCAAGGCTTTGCCGAAATACATAACCTCACCTTCATGGGTGAGCGCTAAGCTGGATGCATTTCCTGCAGCCATCATCTTGATATTTTTGCCTTTGAGAATATCAACTTTGGTGGCGGTTGAAGTAACTTCTTCAGCCAAAGCACCATCTTTGGTGAATTGACCACATTGACCCATGTTGTTTGCTCCCCAAGAGTAAACAGTGCCATTCTTATGAAGAGCGAAACTATGTTCGGATCCACAGAAAATATCAACCATGGCCTTTGGTAGACCAAATTCGCGAGGAACAAGAGCATTCAACCTTGAACGTTCAACAATTCTTCGACCAAGTTGATTATGCTCACCAGCACCCCATGCAAAAACAGAGCCCTTGTTGTTAAGGGCAAGATAATGGTTATTACCAGCAGCGAGCTTGACAATGTTTTTCAAACCAGGAATGAGCATTGGAACCAAGGTCTCTTTGACATCCTTAGTAAAACCCATTGGACCATCAGCGCCCTGCAGATCATTAGTATTACTTCAAAAGGGTTATGGTAATTGAACTTACTCTAATAGATCCCCAACCATAGACCAGTCCATCATTGGTGAGAGCATATGTCGCGTTATCCCCTGCTGTGATTTGGGTAAAGATAGTACCTTCTGGTACATTGGTCATGTCAACTTCACCCGGGGTGGATTCCAATGGGTTTCGTGCATCTGCAGCGTCTGATTCATCATCCGAATCTGCATCGGCATCCCTCTCTGGCGCAACCCAGTCATCGGTTTTTCTGCCCAATGCGAGTCCATCACTTACACCCCATGTAAGGATTTTGTTATCCTTGGTAAGAGCAGCTCCGTGCATACCTCCAGCAACCATTTGAACCACACCAAGAGCGGTAAGGGCAGGGTTCTTAACTGGACGATTAATGGTGTCCTTTTTAGTTTGAAGGCCAAGGCCAAGTTCGCCAGCTTCATTGCAACCGAAAACATATATGTCCAAGAGTTGAGTAGGAGCGACGTTGATGATGGTCTTTGGCTTCTCAACCTTGGGCTTGACAATTTTTGGTTTGACGACCTTTGGAGCCTTGGGCTTTGGAGAGGCCTTTGGCTTTTTAGCTGCAGGAGTAGGTTTGTCAGCTGCTTTGACAGCAAGCTTTTTGACTACAGTAGGTTTGATGACTTTAGCCTTCTTCGAGGGTTTGGCAGCAGGTTCATCGACATCTTCGGTGGATTTGCGCTTGTTAGATTTTGGGGCAGCAGGTTTAGCTGGAGCGGCTTTGGCTGCAGCAACTTTTTTTGCCATGGCAGCTTTGGTGATAGTCGTCTTCTTAACGGTGGTAGATTTAGTGGCAGTCGTAGGCTTCTTGGCTACATCTGGTTGTGCTTTGGCTGTCTTCTTTGCGACAGGAGAGACTTTCTTTTGAGGTGCGACATTTTTTGCGACACCGGCCTTTTTCGGTGCGAGAGCTTTCATGACTTTAGAGGTGTTTGCCTCGACCTGAGACTTCTTTGGGGAAGAGGGTTTTCGAGTTGAAACTCGAGTGGGAGGAGATGGGATTTTCTTGGGAGGCATCTTGTGGTATGAAGTTATGTTATCGAGCTTCAATTATGACGAAAGACGCGACTTTGTGTGTTTATGGAGATGAATCTTCCGAGTACCTAATAAGAGGATTTAAAAAGAACTTTGAAGTGTTTGAAGCGAGAGAAAGGTAATCCAATTCGAGTTCAGTGAGAAATTGAAGTAATTGATTGGATTGAAGTGAATTCAATTGAAATTGATGTGAATGTTGTGGATGTTGTGAGTTGTGAGTTGTTGTTATCGTGCGAAGTTGTGTGGGAATATTCTGCTTCTGTCGCGTCTTATAATAGGAAAATAAAAATCAACCACTCGGCAAGGATAAGCTATTGTTATGATTCAACCATACCGTAAGAAGCTTAGGGCGAACGGCAAATGCTCATGTCCTAACTGATTTCGAGCGATCACGGGATCTACCGCCTTACTAATACAGACTAGCTCAAGACCTTTGAAGTAACAATGGCACCAAGCTACGAAGTACGGAGTAAGAAAGCTGCAATCAAGCTATCATCAGGACTATCACAGGGCTATCAGGGCTAAGTTTGATAATCTAACCATTTAATGCCTAATCGATATGAAGTTAGAAGCACCAAAACCTTCTATGGAGAACAAAACCCACGAATGACAACGCGAGTCCTATCCATGAGCATAGCGTCGCCAACTATGTCAATTAGATAGATGCCTAGTATGTCAACTACACCACTTAGTCCGAAGCTTATAATTTACTTCACATATACGATATCTACTCAACACACACATCTATATCGTCATGATCGAAAACAAGTATGACTACACGACTACAGGCAGAACCATCGAATGCCGAATATTCAAATACATACGAAGAGAGTACTGGAATTAGGGGTACAATTGGCCCCAATTTTCCCTCGGTCCACACCACCCAAACTTTTACTTCCAATTAATTATATGGACCGGAAACTGGTACAACGCGTGACACACTATTGCCATGCAATCATACTTACTCAAGAGTCAAACACCTTTGCTTTTATTCTTTTTGCCATAGTTGTCATCGTAAGATCGATGAAGCCATAACCTTAATGACTTTTAGGGATATCAAATGAGTACCTAATAGCTGGCACCTGCTAAACTACTGAGTCACCAAGTCTCTGGGTCTTTTGACTATTCATTCTTCCCTATATTCTTGATTACTTTCTCTCATCAAAATGAACAGAAACCTGTTTTTGTTTTCATTCGTTCATTCGGCACTTCTCCTCAGCAAATGGCGAGTCGTACCGTCCAATTAATTACAAGTACTTGTGTTCTCCTTCGAGGCCGTTGTAATTTCCTACATTATGCCCTTTTTTTATCTGTAATGACTGGTTCTTATTCGTCGGATCTTTTGCTTGTGTTACAATGAAAACTGGAAAAGATTGTAGCTGCCTATTACTTCAAGATTCCAAATCCAAGTTGCTTAGAAGTGTCTGAGCCTTGTGGTATTTCTTTAGTGCACAATCCTCTGACTCTACACGGGACAACTTCTCTTTGCTTTGCGCTAGTTGTTGGCGTTGTGATCTTTGTACTCATTTCTGTCTCTGGTGTACCCTGATTTCTGCCTCAAAATTGATGATATGGTTTCAAGGACAGACAGAGCGATATAACAACTGATCTGGAAGGCATGGAAATTTGAGCCTCTTGAAGTGTCCTTGGACTTTTAAATTACGCAAAGAAGTATCGGGGAGTGACGAGATCTTTCCACTTCATTCTTGCTCCTCGTCAGAATATCGTACATCATCACCGATGACAGCGTCATGACAGAAGTTGTGAGTAGCGGTATTATCAACATGAAGGCATATGCCTAAACGAGGAGTCTACTGTGACTACCGCAAACATTCTTTATTTGAGAAGGCAACAACCGTAACACAAAGCAGAGTTGAACTATTGGTTACAATAAAAATTTTCATCTCATGCCTCATTTCGCTCCTTGGTTCTCGATTCCACTTATATTCTTAAATTTTTCTGGAGTTAAATGCAAATGGGTGGAAGAACATAAGGACTTTACATTTCGTGGAATATCTGTTCATATATATTTTATCAAACATAAATTTAGGCAAACTTGCTGCGATAATGGAAGCCTGACTGCTGGTCAATCGGGCTTGAAAACACAACGCCACAATGTATGCATCTCTTTATTCTAGACCAACCAAGATCGGTTCAAAATCAACTCTCGTGATTTCTTGCAGGATCCAGCCTCCACTATCCGTTTTTTATATGATTGCCTTCGCCTTCGCCGATTGAAACCAAAAACAAAAATCTTAACCGTTTTTATATCAACATTTGAACAAAAGGCACTGAATTTCATGTTGTCAAGATGACCTCTAAGTATCAGCCGGACACATGCCAGTGATTTATCGTGGTTATGTTCAGAGGGACCACATCTAGAATTTATCAGGAAATCAAAATCACGAAATCCCTCCATCCTTGAACCTGATCCCAAAAATCGTGGGATTGGTTCCCGAGTTGGAACATTAAGATCTGTTCTTCTGAACATTTGCCCTGATCACACAGTTACGACTCGGCATTTTGGCAACTTTTCCGAGCTCAAAAATCATTATGCACAACGAGCAAAAGACGATGGGGAAAGAAAACCAAATACAAGTTAGAATATATATCCTGGAAGGATTGGATCCGCGATTTGTAGAGGCATCTGGATCATACTTCTTCATGGACCCGATGTTTTTCATCAGGCACGAAAGGAATACTGTATGGGATATGGGTGATGTACAAGAAGGATTTAGTGATACTCCGTCATTACCTTGTTGGAGGATCCAAAGAAATACTTTCGTCTTGAATATCGTGAAATGAAAAAATTTGGCCCGGATTTTGATCATTGGCGCACGATTTGTGCGGTGAGTGGTTCGCATATTGTAGGAATTAGCTTTATGGGAAAGTTGGGTAGTTTGGCTGCGGTAGAAAGGAAATGTTCCTTTTGGTTTAGAGAGGAGGCTGATAAAGAAGGATGATGGGATGGTAAGTATTGAGTTTATTGTGTTAGGCTTTCTATACTGATACCTATAAATTGCTGACAGCAAAACTGGCAGCTGTTATTCTTTGTGAACCACCGGTTCATGAAGTATATCGTGGACATAGCCTTTTTCCACAAGAGATGAAGAGTGAGATATTTCAAGGTGGCTATGTGGATTTTATCGATTTTGATATCTTGACCAGGGATGGCCTGAATGGGGCATTTGATGGCCCTCCAAGAACCTGCATGCTCGATGATCTTTGCTTCTACTTGGAGCATCACAGTCCACTTCTATTCGAGATGGAAGGAGCGACACCTCCATTAATCACGTCGGTTTTTCTCAAGAAAATAACAGCTTCTCATTACGTGAAATTGATAGATTATTTCGAAATAATTGTTCAGAGATTAAGGAAAGTACGTACTTCTTCTTCACGCTGGTATACTAACCCTCGTTATACAAATACCATCTCACAACTAGACAGAATGGCAACTCTCGCGACAAACTGACTGGCAAGCCTACAAATCCTGGCCTGAAAAATAAGAACAATGGTCCACTCTTCAAGTCACCCGTCGTCGCCTCTCGAACACTGTACCGATATCCAATTTATCATTCACACCCTTTGTATCCCTTCCTCCTCTCTCTCCCGCGCATCCATATCTGTATCCCCATCTCAACCTCCCCACTACCTCCCCTCCACCCCCTAATTCCCCCTCATCCACACCTCCCTCTCCACCCTCTACGCCCCATTCGCGTCTCCACCATCATCTCCTCAATCCAAGGACTCTCCTCCATCGTCGCCAATCGCGACGCACTGCACGAAACACGACTTTCCTGCGCGAAGCCAAAAATAAATTCAAAAGCACTTACGTTTGTTTGTCGGGTTGGTTTTTATTTCGTTGGTGCATATGTGTGCGCTTTTTAGTATGAGTTATGGGTATGGACCTGGAGAGGGGGCGGGGGTTTGGGTTTCTTGGGTTATGGCGTTGTTGTTGATGGTGGTGGTGGTTTTTGGGGTGATGTGGGTGATGTAGAGGGGGTGAGATGAGGTTGGGAGTTGAGAGAAAATGAGGGGGTTGGAAGTGAGGAGAAGAAGGGTTGTTCGCATAAAGGATGGATGACTTGGTCGGGATTTGGATTAGATTGATGTGTGGAATTTTGGGGGTATTGATTTTATTCTTGTGTTCAGCTAAGGATTTGCTACCTATACTAACATCTTGGTTTTTTAGTGCTCATCTGGTGAATCTTAGAGAAATAACAATGACAGTAAGAATGGATGCTTGTTCATGTCCTCTTCCAGTCTAACCTCAAAACATTCCCTTAAGTAACCTATAAGATCAAAACCTTTGAAGAACTCCCAAAAACAATCTTCATTAAATACAATTTCAGTCTAGTCATTAAATATCAATTTTCATGCCCATTTCCCAAGAAGTCCCATCAACGCCATACCAGCCATTAGACTAATCAAAGCTACTAAAGTCTTAATCAACCCAGCATCTCTCAACTCTCCATACATCCAATCATGAGCCCACATATTAACGAATCCAATCCAGGTAAGAATACCAGCAGAAAGGGCATCCAAAGTTCCAAGAGCAACGATAGTAGACGGATCATTACCATTAAACTGATTAATAACCCCGATACCAATCGCCATTCCAGTTGGAGTAACGAGCGTAAAAGCCATTGGGAGAATGATATACTTGGTCGTGTGAAGACCATCAATTACAGCGATGCGGGCGCCAAGAGCTAGTCCTTCGAACATTTGATGGAAGACGATGACGACGAAGAGCGTGATGAAGACGGAGTCGCCTGCTACTACTAATGTAATACCGATAAGAAGGGAGTGGAAGATGATCCCAGCTTCAAGGATGAAGATACTGAGACCATCATTTGCGTGGGGGGTTCCAAGGTTGTTGTTATCGTGGTGGTGGCTTAGGTGTGCGAGGGTAGGTGTAGGTTGACCTTTTACTGCTGTTTCTTCACGTGCGTTGTCGTAGGAGCTGATACTGGCGGCTTGTCTTTCTATGGTGGATTGTTGGCGCCAATGTGCGAGTCGATGACCGGTGAAGTCGATCAGGAATGCGATGAATGCACCTGCCATCATGATGGCGGTCGTGGTTGCTTCATATTTCAATTCACCGAGACAACTATGCAAGAATCAGTGCTGGAATAGTTCAAATGGGAGTATTGGCGCTTACCTGTTACCAAACATCAATGAAGCGTGAGTCGCAAGCTAGATTCGGTCAGCAACTTGTTTAGTTATCATAGACGAGGATTGAAAGACGTACATGGACCAAGGCAGTGGCAATGATAACACCAGTACCAAATTGCTTAACAATGGTGAAAACGATCCCAGTCCCATTGGTTTTTAGAACTCGTGCTATCACAATTGGAGCATAGACACCTGATCTCTGTTAGATGGAACTACCCTTTCCGGTTTAAGGACTTACCAATTGCGCTTGTAAAAAGGATGACAAACAATAATCCAATGCGGAGTTTAACATTGTAATCACGATCTTTTCGCTCGCAGGTTGCCGTAGCCGAACCGCCAACGCAATGTCTACCACATATTAGCGCTTGAGAAACGTGATCAACACGATTAGGCAACTTACTCGACACCAGCGTGGAAGTGGCAGTTCTCTCCACCCTCGGACGATTCCGCAGTACTCTCCTCTCCAGTAGAACCAGCCTCTTCAGTAGAACCCAAAACCTCAACTTCAGCACCATCGGGTCTCAAGCAGAACATGGTAGAGCCGTGAGAATGGCAGCCATTGTAAGCGGTAGGTAGAGCTTCATTACCAGTGGCAGTGGCTAATACCTGTACCTCTTCCCCGTTGCCTTTGACACAATACCTAGAAGTTAATTAGCTCTCTCATCTTAGAACTCAAGATGTACACATACTGAGTAGTATCATGTTGGTGGCAGTCAGTAATGGCAGTAGTCTGCGCACTTCCAGTTGTCTTTGCAGTCACTGAAGCTGGGGAAGTTGGAGTTGGAGTTAGAGTTGGTGTTGGAGTTAAAGTTGGAGTAACAGTGCTGCTGCTGCTAATTGTGGTCTCCGCTCCACCTGGAAAGAAACATACTCTATATGCGATTAATACAGTGTTTTCTGTCATTGGCAATATGGAAGACTCACTCTTGTCCCTCCTTGATGTGGCAGCCCGTGAGTGTGATCTGAGCACTTGTGATGGCGCCGAGCAATGAAAACAGCAACAAACTTCTGAGGGTGATATAAAATCGAGAGCCAAACATCTCGTCAACGGCACCACACAAAATGTGGGTAAAGGTAAGAGGTTTAAGGGGGAGAGACAAGGCTGTCAAAGAGAGGACTCTAGGGAAATGGCGGGGTAAAGACGGCAACCAAAACCAAATGTGAGATCAACATGCGACAGATGTCTACTATTTATCTCATAACTCAAAACCTCTTATTCAATACAATAGAAGCCGGAAACCTAGAGAAACTGTTATCGGGTTAAGCAAAATGGATTCAAAAGATGCGGCCCATTGATTGATCGATGTTGGAGTGAAGACGAGAAATTTTCACCAGCATTATTACTACAGTTAATAGAGCAAATGGGGAGAAAGACCGACTTGGCTCACAGCATTGCACAGACACAGAATTCGAATGGTGTCGACGCGATGAGCTTAGATGGAAGAAGGGCCTTGGCATACCTAGGCATGAGAACCTTGATGGATGTGGGATGCCTTGCAATGTCAAAAACGATACAGTGGACATTTTTTCTCTTCTTTTCCTTCTAAGAATCGCAACGGAATCAGAGTGTTTGTTTTGCATCTTACTTTGAACACTCAAATTACTCCAACTGTGGCCGACGTGATTATCGAAATAGTCGATTATGAATATAAGGCTGTTTGAAAGACCTACCGTATTCTTCCAGTAGGTATGTAGAGTATAGAGTGACAGCAGGGCTGAGACTTTCACACTGGGCACAACATAATAACCTAGCCCATTCTCCTCTAACATTAATCATAATCCAGCTTTGAAAGGGCCAAGGTCTTTTTGGGAGGGTCATGAGGTTGATCGAGGAGGAAAATTTCCATGGATTACATAATCATAAATGAGCTCCCCCGCCTCCCTTCAAAAAAAGGTAACAAATCTGATTGGTCAACTTCCATGACAAGAAAATAACAGCAGATAATAAGCTTTATATCGTTATCAAACTTTGCTGATTTATGGATTCTAGCTCTCCTTTATACAATGTCCAACCCTACATGACGGACGAGGCGTCTGCATTCTGAAAAGTTCTTCGTCTTGGCCTGACAGGCTGATGGACGTCAAGGTGTAATTGGCATATTGACCTTCCGCTGGAACCACATCGTGGTCCCTACCTATCTTGTGTACATCCGTTGAACTTGAAATCTCTTCCTTTTCGAAGTAGTCGGATTAAGTCCTTGGCGTCCATTGAACCTGAAGATTCAATAAAAATGGTGGCTTTCCAAGGTCGAAGCATGAGTGAGAACCCGGACAGGTAACTACTTTAAGAGACGATATGCATCTCACTTGGAACAAATATTCCACACATCATCTTATCAACCTTCCTCCTTTCCTTTTTGGATATTGCCGTCGTCAAGACAGACTTTAAGATGCACGTCTCAAGTTTCCTCATTGTCTCCATCAATGCTTTTGGTGCATTGGCATACCCTCTTACCGCCACCAACGCTGCGGCTCCCGTCTCTGAGCTTGTTGTCTCTTCAGGTGATGCACAGTCATACAACTGGCAAAGCGGCTATGTCTCTCAATTCACAATCCATTCATCCTGCAATGCAACCGAGCGTCATGAGCTTAGCGAAGGATTGAGACAAGCTGTGGAAATGGCTGAGCATGCTAAGAATCACAGTCAGTATCACCCGAGGTGACCAAATCCGAACCAATGCTAACCAACTGCTTAGTCCTTGTCCATGGTAACAAATCCGAGATCTTTCAAAAGTACTTCGGTAAAGGTCCTACTTCTACGCCAATGGGATGGTTTGACAAGATCGCCTCTGGTAATCGTGCTGGCGTCATTTTCCGTTGTGATGACCCTGACCGTAACTGCGAGACTCAAGATGGTAAGTACATTTCTCTACAGCAAGAGTTCTTAGTTTCTATCTCCATCTAACATCTCATAGCATGGGCAGGTCACTGGCGGGGTGAAAACGCAACCGCCGAAACCGTCATCTGTCCGCTTTCCTACCAAACCCGTCTCCCGCTCACTGCACTCTGCGCGCGAGGATTCAACGTCGCAACCGGGCGACCCGCAAACTTCTGGGCTGCAGATCTCATGCACAGACTCTACCACGTTCCACTCATTGGCGAGGAAATCGTCGACCACCACGCTGATGGATACCATGGCGTTCAAGATCTCGCTGCCGGTATCAACTATACCCTTGCAGGACACAATAGTGCCACATTGACGTATTTCGCAACCGAGGCGTATGCGTATGATATTGCTGTTCCTGGTGAGGGATGTGTAGGCAAGGCTAGTGTTGAGGAGGATGAGGATTCACATGGTGCTCCTACAGCGACTGCGTCGGCTGTGCCGACTGTGAACCCTACAAGAATTATCCCGGCTGAGAGTACTACTCCTGCGGCTAGTCCTGCGGCTAGTCCTGCTGGAACCGAGTGCCATACACATGCTGATGGAACATTACACTGCGTTTAAATAATTTACTTTTATTAATTGATCTTGGTGTTATTAGCTAGCTACCTACTCAAGTACAAATATATATTAATTTTTTAACATGTGGATTTTCAAGAATACTACTAAGATCATAGATTGTACTACAGAAATGAATAAACTAAACTTCCTATCATCTATTTCAACCTCTTTTTTCATCTTTCCAATAATTTCTCTTTCCCTCTTTATTTATTTCATCAAATTTATAATTACCCTTCTACTACCATATAAAAACCTACCCCTCTTCAATTTCCCAACATATAATTATTATCTCTTTTAATAAGATCTTACAATACAATACAATGTAAAGCCTAACACACACCCTCAACATCCTATTACAATATTACAAACCTCACTCACTCTATCTTCTGTCCTATCAGGAGCAAACCAGTTGTATAGACCTTCAAGTTTAGCTAGTATAAAAGGAAAAAGGTCTATAAATCCTTTTCCTTTCTTCTTTAATATCATCGAATACTGTTAAAGTGAATGGTTCCTGCGTAGCACGTGCACAGGGCACTAGTCCTATCAGGACTAGATTGAGAAGCTCTCTGTAGGAGAGCTTCACACTTCCGTAGAACTAAGATAAGGGATGATTCTTATGAAAAGCCAATATAGCCTCAGTTCTGCCCTATCAGCTTCCCACTATTTCCTGTGTAAGGTCATTCCTTTTAACAAATACAACAATTATTTAATTAACCCGTAGGTTCTATACACTTTATGATATTTTTCTTTTTTGAAATTATTTTATTATTTATTCCACTCTTTTTATTTGTATTATATTACTTTGACTTTTTTATTTCAAAATGTTGATCAAATTTTAAATATTTATTATTATAATATGTTAAAAGGAATGACCTTATACAGGGAATAGTGGGAAGCTGATAGGGCAGAACTGAGGCTATATTGGCTTTTCATAAGAATCACCCCTTATCTTAGTTCTACGGAAGTGAGAAACTCTCCTACAGAGAGCTTCTCAATCTAGTCCTGATAGGACTAGTGCCCTGTGCACGTGCTACGCAGGAACCATTCACTTTAATATAATATCTTTTAAACTTTTTGTTTTAATTTATATTTAATTTCAAACTTCTGTTTTATTTTATATTATTATAATATTTAATTTATAGAGAAAGATTTATTCTTATTATATTACAAAATATATAAAAATAATTGAAAATTTCAATATTTTAAAGTTTGAGATTTAGAAGTTATTTGTTACGACGGCTATCTTCCACACCGCGTCACATGACTAAACCAAGGTAACGTGATTAAGTCACGTTATGGACCGCTGCGCGGTCCTGACTAGCTATAGGCATGAAGGTCTATATAATCAAGATGGATTTCCTTTGTATAGAGCTTCGTGCTCAAGATCAATCATTTAGTATACTCTACTATTAGTTACGAATTGCATATCATCATTGTCATTACTTAAGTCCCTGCTTGACGCCTAGTATTGGGTTTCTTGAGACCAGAAAGAGCATCAGATTGAATTGATTGATTCTCTAGCTAAGCAGTTAAGCTGCGAGTATATATTCAAAAAATGAAGGAATAGGGTTAGGTATTCAGCCTTTGGAATTAAAGTGCTTTGAAATCAAAATATTGAAAGCAAACAAACAGTATACCAAAAAGGAAAGAATGAATTAAAAGTTGAGTTTTGTTTGCTCCTTATATGCATCATGCAATATATATGCATATGCTGCCAAGATCCCAGGAGGTCAACAGTAAGGCTATCTTATAGTTAGCAATACTAACCGATATTTCTGGAAACAAATCCAGGTATATAATTATTGATATCAAGGTCACAATCACTATCATATATGCACGAAAAGTTTCATTTTAAAGTCTTCAAAATGATTTTCCATTCAACTCCCAAAATATCATAATCTACAAAAATTCCAACGCGAATTTGTGGGACATAACGGGTATATTATAGCATCAAAGTCATGATTTAGCCACACTAACGGGTATCAATTGCAGTCCTTCCAAATGTTTATCAACATATCTGTATATATTCCCTTGTCCCTTCAAGTAAAAACGCCAATGGTATATCCAGTATATGGATATCATTTAAATGCAAAGTCTTTCGTAAAAGCCAGTTTTTCCGTGTAAAAGTTCATCTCCATCTAATCAAATGGGGAAATAAAGAAAAGTAAAATGTAAACGTCGAGTAACGACGGGGATGTTATGGCCTCTATATCATTAGGTGAAAGTAGGCGATATAGAGGCTTTTGTAAATAAAAATTGGGTCATGTATAGAACCCAATCAAATAGTGGTGAATGTATTTTAGTATAGTCAGCGAGAGATTTCAGGCCGTCAAACAGTACATAGGTGAGAACTAGTACATCCTGCCGCCACTACCCGGCCCTATGTCTAATGTGGTGAATAACTTGTACAGCAACCCTGTGTAGCGTACAGCTGGAAGTAACAGAGTCTAAGAGGTTCTCCGAGGATGTGCTGAGCCAGGTTATCCTAGGGTTCGTCCTGCCTCTTGCTCCTGGCCACAGATGACTCTATGCCAGTAACTTGAGATGTGAAGGCTCCAGAAGCGTCTATGTTAAGAATTTCCACAGCAATAATGTACTAGGAGACACTCAGATGGAAATCAGAAGCGGTTTATGTCATGTCGCAGAGTCTGAACACAGTAACTGCCATTTCGCCATGGGTCACGGTCATGTATATATCATCGTAAACCATCATCCATCACATGTAAGAATTTCCTCTCCTAACCATCTTGAATGTGCTGTCAGCGCATTTCCTGGCTACTAATTCACTTATCCATCATAAGCTCGACGTCTAGCACGGAACTAGCTGCCTCGGCGAACTCCGTCGTTAGCATTGTTCTATCCTGGTATCCTCCTGGACAAGAGTCTCCTGGAGAATAGCCATAGATCAGCGCCTTGGATACCAGCCCTATATTTCATAGCTACGTGGATGAAATGCGACTCATGGGCAATTCCATCTTGTCTGAATTGATATGCAGTGCTGCCTCAGATAGACGTTGATGCTCTGGAAGAATTTGATGGCCAGCTCATATGGTTCTTCTACCCGGAATTGCGAAGGTGCATAGGCCATGTATGATTCATGTCCACTTCAGATGAGATTGTGATCACCGAACAGGTTGTTTTAACCTCGGTATACGCTGCAGTTATGTGCTTGCTCGGAACTTGCTCATATATTCTAATTGCTGCGCCTCCTGCTTCGGCCGTGCAAGTCTTTGTAACTCTCACCACCAGTCGACCCTCCATCAGCGGCCACATGAAAATGTCTTGAGAATGTGCACGTATCCATGTCCGAGATCTTAGAGCCTTCTTCTGTGGCGGCAAGCTTTTCGTATCTGTACTCGAGATCTATTATAAGGGCATCGCATCTAATTTCCTTTGCTTTTTCGTCCATAAGTCGTGGAAGGGTAGACGGCACCGTGGTTCTTAAAGCACCTATCTATAACGCTAGCTGACTCCACAAGGTGGAGCCAAAAGTCTCCAACTACGTACTCTGCCAAACTGGACACAACCTGGTCCATTCCTGAAGCTTCGTATAGCCACCTGTCTATCGTGTTCGAATTGGATACCGCATCTATTAGTATTATGGGTGGTTCGGCCCAGTGAACTCGTCTCTGATTGCTGTGGATACTACAATGCTTTATGCAACGACAGTTAGCGAGTGTAGCACCAATTAAAGTTGAGTGTAGCACACTTGAGATTCACACACTGATATGGATAAATACAGGAGCATCATAGACACGGAAACACCACTCACAGCATGTTCAGCCCTAACGAACAGTCATCATCGACCGGGATCCTTGGCAGCAGGAGTTACAGAAGCAAGCACCGCTACGAAGCTGCCAGTAGCAGAGAAAGTGACAATGACAGCAGTTCCAGTAGAGGTAGTGGCCGGCCATGGGATAGCTCGTATGTCGGAGCAGACAGCCTGAGACCCGTAGTAGATCCTCACAGGAGCTACAGCCACTGTGGTGGGGATGATGAGGATTGTGAGAGATGGCCCTGCGCATGGCCCCGTAGAGTCTGGGCAGTTTTCGTAGCGCTTTCAAAGCCTGTGAAGCCGAACTACATCATCCTGTACTTCATTGTGTGCAAGAACTGCCCAGTCTATACAGACTTCATGATTTCCTTTAGGAATATGCAAAATGCCATGGTAGTGCTGCAAGATTCTCTACCGTACTAGGTGGATGCTGCTAGAAGAAGCTGAAGTAGAGGCCGCGAAGTGGCGGAGGTGTTCGCAGAAGACGGGATGGCGCTTAGGTTGTCGATGAAAGGAAACCCAGAGAGAAGGTGGTGACAAAAAGCTTATCGAAAGGCAGTGCGAATTGTAGCTGGCTTATCTTTCGAAGAAATCCTGCTTTCGCGCTACCTTCTCTGATGGTGTTTCACTTGATCCCCACTTCTACCCTCGACTGCACCGAAAGCTCCGACTTTCCTCACTAGGCAGGCAACGCGTTGGAAGAGCCACCGTGAAATGGAGTGGCTGCAAGCTCCAGCAGCTTCTTCCGTTGCCACGACATCTTCTTTGTGGGGTTCCCATCGCGTCGCTTGCCTCCTAGAGGTCTTTCTTCACAGTCGCTGCAACTATCTCTTCCCCTTTTATTTGTCGAGATGGCCGAAGAAGATGAACTACTACTGCTGACGCTGACATCAGGAGTAGCGACAGCGACATTGACCTTTGCTTCCTCGCCATAATTGATGGCCGGGAGCCCCAAAAATGGTCCATTTACGTTGCGGACAGAAGACCAGTGCGAGCAGGTTTCGTCGAATGCAAGGTGCAAATGGCGCTTCGCGGACTTACCATCCTCCGCGAGGAGCGACGTTTTGTAGACATTGTGCCACACGGTGACATCTACCTTATAGGCCTTTGCAAAGGCAGCCAGCTCGACATGATCGCCCCACTCATGCGGCCTCGACATCTTCTTTAACCGATCCTGGAAACGATGTTCCAGCTGTGCGTCCGCGGCCGCCTCGTTATCGATATGGCCAGCTGCCGCAACTCTTCTGCTCCGATTTCGCTTAACCGAATCCGCCGGAATGAACGGTTTAAAATCATCTGGATGAGCCCGCATACACTTAACCACATTTCTGCGAACCTCCAGATGTCGCTCAAAACCACCATAGAACTGGTCCGATAGGGCCCGGAAAAGGCAATTCCCATCACCTAGGGTCTCATGGATGACCAATCCATTTTCGATGAGGAGGGGAAATCTTTCCATGAGATCTCTTGTTGACCTTCTTTGAACCATTGTCAATCCAGTGAAAGGCTCCAATTGTTCTTTTATATTGATAATCGCTCCGACCACGATAAGGAACGTAGGAAGGTAAAGGTGTAAGATTGAAAATGTAAAGGGTAAGAAGAGAAGATGTCAGAATAAACGTCGTTTAATCAAGGAAGGATCCAAATGTAAGAGGTCCTTAATTGTACCGAGCAATCGCTATCTGAAGGAGAGAAAATAAAATCCAAGGAAGGAAATTTCGAACCAGATATATAGGAATGAGCATCTGGAAATTATCAAATGACGAAAGTCACCAAAAAATAAATAAATAAATAAATATATGACGCTTACTTTGCTATTAGAACCATCGCCGGTTCGGCTTGGTCTCAGCACTGGTCTGACTTTAGACTGGGGATCATCTTGAATACTTTGCTCTAGTTTCAATAGAGGAATCGTATAAACGTGACTTACCTGCTCTGCTTCAACTTGCAGTGGAGGCTGAATGGTTATCGTTTCCCTAGTAAACCTGAAACTTGACTCATTAGAACGCTTGTCACATACAAGATTTTGGCTACCAGCAAGTAAAAAACGTTTTTGAGTTTTCAACTGACAGGCTCTCGCCTGTGCGATTAGGTCTAGCACTCTTGACCTCAAAGGTTCTGGGCCAGTAATAAGTGAAATATTTCTGGTGGTGGTGGACGATGTGCCGTGAACTAATTGGCATCATTATCCAATCTTTCATTCTTCCATCGATGCACCACCAAGTGATCTGCGAGGGGTACGCTGATACAAAGGTGTTCAGGGTTGTTCGCTATCTTCACCCCCGAGGATTGATCAATTCAACAGGAAAAAGAAAACCAGCACCTCACCCACGGGCATGGTATCTCCATCAAGACTTTCCTATGGAATGTTGTCAAGCCAACAGGAAAGGAAAACCCAGTATTATGCAGATACATTGGGATCGGCATAAGAGTTCTTCCTACGGTCCTACAACTTGCAGAATAAAAGATAGAAGCATCTAAGTTTAGGTATACTTCATGAATTGTCATGCAATAGAGGGAAGAAGCGAGGCTGTACTCATGGATTAATAGGAGAGGCCGTCGATATCATTGCAGATGAATTCCTATATATAGCTACCTACCTAGTATGCGGCTTCCAAGATTCTCAAGCTAGGTCCACCAGGTGGTCCTTGAAATGAGGGGTTCAAACTCCACAGTCAGGATGTGACGCAGAAAAGAGGCATGAAGAACTTATCAAACGTGGCTCCCAAGTATACATCCAGAGATTTTGTTTAGGCGGCTGTGAAGATATTCGGAACAAAAGAAAAGGCCTCTTGAAAGAAGGGAGCCAAATAAAATATCATTCATTCATTCATTCATTCATTCATTCTATTTCAGAAACAGGATCTTCCAGGACAAGCTCGAGCCTCTCTGCTTACGGATTATCTTCGGATTAACTTCCGTGTCACAGTCACAATCCTTCGCTCTCGGTATTTCCACAGAGTGATACTGATATTCTCATGTTTTTACCTTCCCCAATTCTTCAAGATCTTTTCTCAATAAATTAATCTCACTTATATTCACTATGCCAAATATCGTAGTTGTGGGGTTTGTTCCCTCGAGCCTTTTTCTCTATCTTCCAAGGTTCTCAAAGTAGACGAAATCCCCCGACTGACATCTTTGTGTATCTAGTGCGGGAGTGTCTGGATTGACCACCGCTTTGCTCCTATCACAGAATCCCGCCTTCAAGGTCACCATCGTTGCGAAGCATATGCCAGGAGATTACGACATTGAGTATACATCTCCATGGGCCGGTGCAAATTATCTTCCGTGAGTCATGACTCACAATATCCAGCTTAGCCATTGCTAGGTATGAGATGTTGTATTAATAATTGTCAATTCGAAGGGTTTCAAATGAATCAAACTGTAGATGGGAGAAGCGGACATGGTATGAACTTGCAAGGCTCGCGAAAGATGTCCCAGAAGCTGGAATTCATTTTCAAAGTGAGTTTTTATGTTCCTCCCACTTCTGAAAGTGATTCCTTATTGACTCAACATTAGACACTGTGGTTTTGAACCGCAAAAAGGATGCGCAGGGAACTATTGGTCAATGGTTCAATGAGCTGCTTTCCACAGACCCTTGGTTCAAAGATGTCGTTCCTGATTTCCGTGTTCTACCGCAGAATGAGATACCTTCTGGAGCGGATAGTGGAACTGCATTCACATCTGTTTGTATCAACACCCCAGTCTACCTATCCTACCTCGTGGGTCAATGTCTAAAGAACGGAGTTGTACTGGAACGAAGCATCATCAACCATATTTCAGAAGCCGCCGGTTTACACCACTCTGGTGACAAAGCCGACGTAATTGTAAACTGCACTGGTCTCCTGGCCTCGAAACTGGGCGGTGTTATGGACAAAGATGTCATTCCTGTTCGAGGTCAAATCGTTCTCGTTCGTAATGATCCCGGTGTTATGTTTACAATTTCCGGTACGGACGATGGAGATGATGAGTTATGTTACATCATGCAGCGCGCAGCGGGTGGAGGAACGATTTTAGGAGGTACATATCAAAAAGGGAATTTTGAATCCCAACCATGCCCCAACCAAGCTATACGGATCATGAAGCGAGCTGTGGAATTATGTCCAGCTTTGACGAATGGGAAGGGTATTGAGGCTTTGAGTGTTATTCGCCATGGAGTGGGATTAAGGCCTTTGAGGCTGAGTGGGGTTCGAATCGAAAAGGAGAAAATTGATTCTACATGGGTGGTTCATAATTACGGACACGGAGGTTGGGGATACCAGGGCTCATATGGATGTTCGGAGGGAACTGTAGAGCTTGTTGAGGATGTTTTGAAAAATGAGTCGAAGATTTAAGGGCAATCATGAGATTTTTTTTAAAAAAAATCCTGGTACGCGATGGGGAATAACGGAATTCTATATCATCATGAACATTATCCTAAGAACTTCTCATCCGCCTACCAGACATGTCATCATATAGTCATATTTCCATGGAGCATCTTCGATTAAATGGGGAACTAAGATAATCTCATGTCCAAACTCAAGACTCGAGTGTCTAAATGTCTCAAAGCGACATTTCACACCAGGTTTGGAGCCGTGAATTCCCTCTAAAATCGTCCAGGAAATCGCTTCAAGTGGTTTGCTGGTAGTAAACGTTGTCCAGGATAGTAAGTAAATGCCAGTCCCTTTCATGATGCTTTAGATATTACCATCATTAAAAGAGAGCCAAAGGAGCTCGTCTATGTGGCTGTCAACATGGAATACATGGCCTCATCCGGCGGGTGGGTGAATGCTCTGATATTTCAGCATACATTCCCCTTGTCAAAGCACTGTATGCACCAAACGAACGGTCAAAACTTTGAACACAGTCTTGGGATCTGCTTAACTTCAAAAGACTGGACCGGGCTGGCAGAGAAGTGATGTATAGAATAATAGCAGTTTCCTAGGCGACGGGGAGTATCTAATCGCTAAAGAGCCATCTGCACTGCACCCCTTTCCTAACCAAGATTTGATAGTCCCACAGCAACGTGATTATTGATTGAGTCATTTGATATCAAATTTCTATTGAGGGTATGATTTTGATGTCCAACCTTTTCTTTGGATCGCAAAGGAGGTCAGTCATGACGAGAACAATATATTAGTATTCGTAGTATGTATTTGAGTAGAACATATGTATGATAAGAGCAAACTTTTATATTGAAGGAATAATAAGAAGCAAGTATATACGAAACGCATCTTTAGGTCATTCTTCAAGCACCCAGCCAGGTATTCGGTGTTTTTTTTTTTTTTTCCGCATCTAATAATTATATTCCTGATAAACGATTAACTAAGGTCGAGAACCCACAGACCTTTGTTTTTCAATCCTTGGCAAAATCTTTGTGACACTTGAGGTGCGTGCGCGCAAGCTTCCAAGATCTTCATCTGTTCCGTTCTATTCTGCTCTATTCAACACGTTAATTACAACCAACCACTACACCCAATCAGAAACTCCCCACGACAGCTTTACGTCCTTACGAACGAGTAATATTTTACAAACACGACGAATTTATAGAATAGCAAGATGGATTTCTCTGATGCTTTGTGAGTTATCCCAGAGCTTGCTCCAGCCATGCTTGTTGCGCGGCTTTGAGCTTGGTGATTGAGATGCGGTTGGAAGGCTGGGCTCACTGTCATGGTTGAGGGACGAGGACAAGATGGTGGAAGCTGCAGCTGAAGCTATACTATATACATACCTACGCGCACTTGATGGGTTTGGCAATGGCAGATGGTACATAGCCAAAGTGATGAAAATGGATCCAGTTTGAAGCTCTATCAAGCTTCCAGGCTTCATCCAGAGCTCTCTCAGCCTTCAACCGCATCATCCCCTTTCGTCAGCCTTCGCGATTGAATGCGCCAGCTTAAAATTCATAATTGAAGATGTGGCTAATGATAATTTCTTCTTAGTCGACTTGTCAATTTGGCAGTGGGAATTTTCATGGTTCTTGGTGGAATTTCCCAATTCTTTCCACTAGGCTTGTAAGTACCAACATATATGTGACGGCAAGCCCCGATGAATTTGTCGTACTAATGTCACATAGCCAATCTATTATCGTCGGATGTTACGTTATCATCTTCGGAATCTGTGAGTATTCTCATTTTCTATCAGTTATATAGTCTCCTTCATGAACTTTACTAACAACTAATTTTCTAGGTACTGCTCTTCTTGGTTCGTCCCACCCAACTTTAGCCTCAGAGTTTCACAAAGATCCATCTCCCTGAGCTCAGTCGGGATTCCAAATGAGCCTGCTAAACACCTGCGCAAAATACTAACACAAGCTATAGAATTTCAAATCCCACCCCAAGTCTCCCGCTATGCTTCTTTCCTCTTCTCCTTCGTCGGTCGAGGAATCTGTACGTCTCCCACCCCCTAGGCCCCTCCCTATGCAACACACACCACAAAATAGAGCAAAACTAACACCAAACAATAGTCTATGTATTCGTTGGATCCATTCTCTTGCACGACCACGTCTTGCGCATTATTGCTGGTTCCTTGATTGGCATAATCGGTCTCGTTTATATTATCCTTGAGTTTGTTCCATCTATCGAGCCACCTGCAAACATGAGGTAAATGCCTGTTCTCTTACCAGACCCTGTCGCTATATCCATTCACAAATACCATTTAAACCACCTTTTACTAACAATGGTCACCGCATACAGAGAAGCAGATGGAGGATGGGGCGCAGAACAAGTTTAATCCCATCGCACACCTCATTCGGAGTCCCCAGTTCGAAATCTCCTCGCGTGCGAATCCCAGCTCAAACAGAACCTCATTCATATCCGCCGCTGCGCCTTGATGCTGCATCAACTTTTCCGTCGCAAATTCTACCTCAGCCACCATCCATTTATTGGTACGAAAGTTACGAATTCCCAAAAGATCAGGCTTGTACTACTTATCATGTTATCTCTCCCCAACCGACTCAATGACTCGGATTAGCTATAGAAAAAATGGCGATTCATTTAGGCATTTCCTTACCTTTTACCGTGTGTATGTATGTATCTACGTCAATTATTCTAAAATAAAAGCAAGAAACAAGCACAAACGGCGGAGAATTCCAAAATGCACATTGTGGCACTTCCAGCTGGGAACATGATATTGATATAGTGTTTCAATTCTCCTGGACTCACTAAACTACATTTATTGCGGTTCTGTTCCATTTCCTTCTGTCCGGCCTGGACTTCCTTGATGCATCTTATACGTCCGATTATTACATCCCTGTATTTGTTTCCACAGATACATGGGGGTTGCAAATTTGTGCATCCTGCACTCCCACTACCAAAAATCGATTCGGTGCTGTGGATATACCCAAGAGAAAGCCCGCGTGCCTCTTGCCATCCCAATGTTACACTAACTATGAGGAGATCCCCTTTATTAGATGGCAGATGGGTATCTGTATCCCATCCCTTTCCAATTATGTGTTGCACCTGAAAAAACAAACCCCTTGTAAACTCCCATTATAATATGCTGTGTGTGCCCTGGTCCTCAAAGACGAACCCGCTCACTAACGTACTCCTATTTTTTACTTCCTTTCCCAGTGATCGTGCTCATGACAAGTATTCTTTCCTTATTTGCAATGAAAGTAAATGCACATTCGTAAATTCGTAGGCTTCTTATCCCCGATACATGATACGGGAAAAATGTGGTTGGCGGATAAATATTAATCCAACCCGGTCCCCAATTCAGCCAATTCTCTTTCCTTGGCCTTCAAATCCTCTCTCATCTTTTCCGCTTCCCTTTGGAGGAGTTCCCTTCTCTCCGCTTTGGCACGATCACTTTCGCTCGCCGGGTCCTTCGCACTATTTAATGCACTTCCAGCTCCGCTGCCCGAGGGACTGGCTGAATGAGTAGCCGGGCCGACAGTGCTAAGACTTGGACTCGCAGCGGCAGAATACCGGCTTGGGCTCAACCTTAAACTATCGGTTCCACGGCGGAAACTAAGATCACTTTCCGGATTGATTTCGGAGTCGGAATTTGGGAAGCCATGGTTTAGTATTGACTTTATGGATGAGAGACGCTTAGGTACAGTTGATGCATATGTGGACTCCGAGGTAGGAGCATTGCTTGGATCCATCTCAGTAGCGGAGAAAGAGCGTTTTCGAGAAGGGGAGAGGTAATTGTTGGGTGATACAGAAAGCCGGTGTTGGCTTGGCGAAGGATACGATGCCATTGGTGGCAGCCGGTTGTCGTCAGTCAAGGAGTCGAGATTTTGGCCTTGATAATTAAGATTAGATGTATAGGCGCCAAGATCGGACGGTGGATGTTGCTGATGCTGTCCGTTTTGAGTCCGAATTGGTTCCGGTAGAGCTCTTCCTGGATCATTGCGTGAACGAAGACCCAAGTTCACTGATCCGTCAGGATTCATTGTGCCTCGCTCAACTGCCTCTTCGGGTGAAGCACGATCGGATTCTGGCGAATCTATTGCGCTGCTAGTTTCGTAACTGGAAGCTTGAGAACCTTGAACCGCTGGGACTACCCTTTTACGACGCTTGATAATTGATTTTTTCATAGTTACTGGCCGATGCACACCATGGAGTTTATAATATAAACCTATTATATGTTAGTCCGGATGCATCCGCACTTCATCACTAAACGTACCACAGGCATTACAAATCGTATGGCCACTTTCATCTCTACGCCAAAGCGGCGTAATGGTGGTTCCACAGTTTTGACAAGCTACAACGACCGTAGTGTTTTGCGTTTGCAACGGGAGGGATGCAATATCGATAGGGGATGGCGCATCTGTCGGTTGATCATTTTGCGGCTGTGGCGTTTGTGTTGGTTGTCTATCTTGACAAGAAGTAAAATGCGCTGTCTTTGAAACTCGATTATTGAAAGCTGGGCATCCACCACAACCTTCAGCACCTCCAGTACCGTTGCAACGTCCGCCACCAGGGCATGTTCCCGTGGACGTTTGATCCGCTGAAACATAGGTTGCGCCGGCTGTAGGAAGTGACATTGACCCGCTGGCAGAAGGAGAGGCCCTCGAATCTCCTTGGTGCCCGATAGGAGCAGTGGTCGGGGGACGTTTTAGATTCGTAGGCCGAGAAGCATTACGAGCCTTTTGATATAAGCCACAAGCATTGCATATAGTTGCACCCTGCGGCGATCTCCGCCAGAGTGGTGTCCTAGTTGTACCGCAATTACTGCAAAATGTCAGTTGCAACTTTCATACCAAGCAATAGATCTCCCATACCTGCATATTTGGCCAGTTTGAATCTGTTCTATGCTTGGAGATGATGCAGGAGCGCTAGCCTGAGAACTTTCTCGTTGACTACGCTCCAACGAGTTATTATATTCAGCATCGGATGGATTGCCATAGGTATAATCTCTTTCCTGTTGGCGTTGATTGTTATATACTGAAGAGTTTGTCGCATTTTCAAACTCTTCTTTGGATTTTAGTCCCCTCGGTGCAATTGCCGTGCGAACAGGGATCACCTCTTGTCTCCGTTGCTGCGGAGATGATGAACTTCTGTTACTCATGTCGCTGAAAGGATGATCCGACTTAAAGCCAGTCAAAGGAGTCGTTCCAAGTGCGCAGCACATAAGGGTTTCTAGAAAAAAGTGTGGGATTGTCGGAAACAAAGATCTCTGACGTATTTGAAAGCGAGGCAGTGGATAATGGCAATCGATTTGAGGAGGAAATCCTCAAACTTAAGAACCGAGTTCGTAATGTCCTTTTAAGGAGAAGTAGCGCAATCACACCTCTGAACAAGAAGATGTTTTTGATACTGACTTGTCGTTAAGAGGATGTTGATGAGTATCCAGAACCTTCGTACGATTCTAGGTGAGTGGTGTGGTCGCCGATGAGGTTAACCTACTTGACCGATATTCATATGCGTATGGAAAGCAAGGTTAGATTACGTTTCAATCTTAGATTGGGCTCTTGAACTCTACGTACTTGCACCAAATCTACGAGCTGCTAGGGTATGATGCAGTAAAGATTGGTGCGTATAATCGGTAATGCGGTGAAAATCCTGAAAGTTGCTCCTACAATGGATATGAAACCCAATCAATGGTTAGGAATGATTCTAAGTGATCAAGAAGCCCTGAAGTGGTTTTGAGGAGTTCGTCTTGAAATTGCGGGTCCGGACTTCTGATAAGGAATGAAATCCTGTTATCCAATGGTTGGCCTGATTGAGGGGAAAGTCAGCTCGACATCATGGTAAGGGTCGTTGAAAATAGACTTGACAGAAAACGAGTGTGCTATGGAAGTTCCATGTACTAACAATAATGCAAATCTCTATGTTGTGGTTGCGATTGCGGTTGCACAGACCAAGTTTATATTGGAGCGGGAAGCAGAGCCTACGATGCACCACGCAAACTTGAACTTCGCCGTTGATGAAATGGGGCAATGGCAATGCGATCGACCTCTTTCGCTCTAGTGAAGACTCGGAAACAAATAGAAAAGGGCCAAAGAACGGAAATACAAATATTGGAATATCGTGCTGTATTACCTACCTAAATTCGCTTGGACCTGATGGTTTGTGGTTAAAATGATCGCCGTGATTTCGGAGTTCGAGCACGGGAGAGGGAGTTATTGAGGTTGGTAGTAAGAAGGATTGAGCGATTGCGATTGATTTTAGCACCTTGTCTCACAAGGATTGTTTGCTTGCTTCAATGAATATCGTAAGTGAAGATTGATTCGACAAGTAGAAGTCTAGTGACCCAAAGCAGCCTTCCTTCCTTCCCCCTTCCACACAAGTTTTAAAAGAATCTTTCTTCAGTCCTCGAATTTGGTCGTCTGTCTCTTTTCCTTATTCGAATGTGTGGCTTTTGTCATCCATAACCGTCAGATCGTAGATCGCAACTCGTAATTCGTAATTCCGGATTCTTAGAATTAACGTATCGGTGAGATTGATGTGAAGTCAGGTGCTTAGTGCTGTGAAATGAGGAATATAAGATATTCTCCTTCCTCGCAATGGCTGCAGTAAATGAGAGTGTATGAGTAGTAAAGAAGCAAGGATAGAAGATGTTTCGATCTCCCTCTCTCTCTCTAGCTCTATTTTTTTTTTTATCCTTTTCGAGTCGGTGTGGCCGATGTGAAGGGTTGTATTGTGTTTGTGTCGCACCTGAAATCTCGAGAAATCAAAGGCAAAGGTTTAGGTAAGGTTTGAATTGATGATTGATCGCTACCTAGCCTAGGTCGGTATGCGCAATTCAGTCAAGAGCATCAACAAGCGTCACTTACGCATAAAGAGTGGTCCTAGTCTCATTAGGGCGAACTAGTTTGCGTTAGTTTGGTCATTCACATTATATCATTTTTCATTGGCTCGGTTATCATTTTCAAGACAAAGATTTAATGCAGGGTCGAAAAGTCAAGGTCAAACGGCCAACGGTAAAACTTCAGTGACCTTCCGACTGAAGTGAGAATTACGGAGCAGCACATGAGATAACGATCACGACACCTCCAAGAGAGAACGAGAGCATTATATGTTATGGTTCTCAGCATTATTGTATGATATATATTGTCATTCATTTCCATCTCTTTCTCCCTACCTAGGTGGAGAAAGATCTTACATAAGATAATATACTAATCATAATATTAAAGAGCTTAAGGTTAAATTAGTTAGAACGAGCAGGGAATAGCGATAAGAGTATCATCGTGTGTACATAAATATATATATTTTTTATATTCTGAGTACTATTGTATCATTTATCTAATCTCATTCCAAGTTACACGTTTCTATAATATCCTGAAAAGGATCCTTCACATACGTAAGATGAATTGATGGTTACGAGATGAATATTCGGAGCAAATAGAATGGGTAAGAGAATGGAAGAACGGGTCAACAAAAGTTTCTACACATTTTGTGCCATGTTTCTGGGCACTGTCTATACTATAATTCTTCATCAGAGTCATCTGATCTTATATACTAGTAACCTTATATTCATTGTTCTAACAACAAACTTCTATACTTGGCGATCATCAAAGCACTATCTTATCCAACGGAACATCACACTCAGATCCCAATTCCTCAGCGAAGGATCTTTCATGGACTTCAAATATTGTTCTAGACCACATAGACCACCACATAGACAATATAGACTTGGGGGCTCGTCGCATTTTCTCCTGCAAAAACATAACCACTGTACGTACCTAGGTCATCTGCTGGCAGATCTGGGTAAGTGGTTACATTGAATCACGCTTCAACCAATGAGCGTGAATATAAATGATATTATTATCCAGCTTTCATTTCTATGGCTTCTCATTATCGGTTCCAGGATGCAGGCGAAAGAACAAGCCAAGCCGCATAAATACTGTCAACCGATTCGTGGAACACCATTGCTACTCTCGGACCAGGTCACCTTATTAGAACACAACTCCGATACTCCAAAATCCAAATCGTAGCGGGATTGAAAATGCAGCATCGTCAATGTACCATTGTACCTACCTATGTGGTACAGTCAACCAATGAGAAAACGTCCTCTCCTCTCATACTTGTACGTTGAAATAATTACAACCTCGAAATTCCTTTCAACGTATTTTTGTTTCGAACTGACATTCTGGTGTCTCGTGAGATCCGCATAACCCGCACGCACCTCGTTTACACTCCCCATCCACTCTTTATCTTAAGCCCTTGTTGAGATCCTCAGCCTTACCCTTATCCATGAGTTCATCTCGTGTTTATATTTAACTCGAAAGGATCAACTACTTTCTGTATTATGGAAGTACGTTCTATCCTCCTCAAAATCCGAATGTCTTACAACTACCTACGCAGTGTGAACAATTTATCCAACTCACTAGTTTCGAAGGAGTCGACCATGAAGCTGGCATCCGCAGCCATAACTCATCAGCACTCCTGCCAAATAGTATAAGTCTACTCCGATGTCATGGAACATCAAATGCTACACTGGTCTTCGTCCAATCACAGCCCTATATCAACAGAATTTGAACTCCTCCGACTAATGACAAGGAACGCCCCGCGTTACCGTCACTACTACAACACCCTGTCAATTGCTATGTCAAAGATTTACTTTATCGTCTCTAGCTCAACAGCCGTGGTAATGTGACTGTCAAGTCTTCCACGGGTACCAATTCCCGTTCTACAACAGCGGTATGAAATCTATTTTCCTTTGCCGAATTTGAACTTAGTCCGCCAGTGCAAAAGACCCGAATCATACAGCATGAAAATAAGGAGGAACTACATTATACAAACAAATTCGGCCCATGCAAAGGCACGACATGATTATTGGCCAAGGAAAGAGGAATTGAGATTACGGATTCGTGGCTTCGAGTTCCCCTCTTCACACGCATCTCAATAATCAAAGTTTCACAACTTTGATAATCAAGGACCTTACCTATCATCGAGATCCACGAATGTATATCGAGAGATTTATCCTCATCCTTGAAGTTGATCCTTGAGATTGACACCATGTCGCACCATATGCTACAGTGGTATGACCAAACAACGCATGGAGCCGCCGGCCTACAGATACGGTACGATTTTATCCATTTACCTGGCGGGGCTCAAATCCTCGAGATTCCAACCATGCAACAACCCGATTGCAAGGTATGAGTATAGGGATAATGTTGGTCGCCGAGTGGCAGTAAACGGTACGGCAGCACGTAGGGTTTATGAAACCAATCAAAATCCCATCCAAAATCTATAACTTTCCATCTGATAGCAAGCATTCTTGTGAGTAAGTGAAACCAATTTCTTCTTCTAGCCGAGTATCGTCCAAATTCGACAGAATCTCCTTCAAGCTACACCCCTTAGGCGCATCGGACGTAACACCAATTTCTCGGCGAGTTTTTTTATCAAGTGCCGTACGGAGGTATACTGAACGGAACGAACAAACTTCCCGAGTTACAAGTGCGTTCCTACACAGATATCATGATTAAAGGTAGTACGCGAGTATGCTGCGCAATTATGTATATCCATGCATGCATGCAGAGATATCAATATCAGATCCGGACCGAGACTTGATACCCTATAAGGCGACACTAGAATGTCAAAGCTACTTTAGAATGAATGTAGGTATGTCACTTGTAAGTACTTGGTACACCGCTAATTCATGAGCATGAATTTGAGTATTGTCTTTGCATGTTAGCAACAATGCAGATATTATCATCGGAATCGGGTTTGAAATTTTTCAAGAAAATAGCAGGTTAGGCTCCTCCTTTTTACCTTTTTCCTTCTCGCCCTCTTATGAAATATCATATCAAAATAGATACAAGTACAAGTAGAAGTAGAAGTACATACAGATTGATCTCTCACATCATCAGCCAGAGATCCATAAGTCTATAGTACATCATACCCCGCCATCGCAACCTCACACAACACCCTTGAATATAACATCGGTATACTGTACTTACAATTGATTCCATTGCACAGATACAATTAACATACCTAGTAGCTGACAACTAATCAAACTATACAAATCAAAATAAATCTACACTTCCACTGTTCGCTGTTCATTGTTCAAAACACAATCCACATGGCGTAAGATCCAATCAGTGTAGTCATGTTCCTAATCGATGAAGATAATACATACCTAACAGCAGAACAATTCAGCACTCACCGATCTTTATAGATGTATCTTACAAGACCATTCTATCACCACAGTCAATGGCGTATTTCATATTCTATCCAATACCTGCAGATTTACATGTACTAAAGGTACCTAGGTACCTGATCTTATAATAAACAATCACATATAATATGTATATAACTTCACTCTACTCGAATACCATCCCAATCATCCCAATCATCCCAATAACTCACCTCATCATTCCATATCCCCTATTCTCCAAAATCAATATACTTGCCTATTTATATACTCACTCACGCCATCACCAAACTATCTATCCATCTATCTACTTCCCAAACACTGCATATATATCGTATACATAACTCGCTCTCTCCCTCTTTCTTCATCTTCTTCGTCTAGTTCTTCCATATAAGATGATAATACATTGCAGCAAAACAAAAATAAAAACAAGTTTATAATACAACCCCCCCCCCCCCAAAAAAGTAATCTTCACAATTATCTTTCTCTTTCTCTTTCTCTTTCCTTTCCCTTTCCCTGTCCCTTCTCTTTCCTTCCTTTATCTAGGTAACATTATATAACTCCATTCTTACCATACCCAACATCCCAATTCCTTATAGAATCTTATACTATAGTACCTATGCACCATCAATTCCACAAACCCTATGAGTCCTAAACAGGCCAAGAAGCTAGTCAGGCTTCTTATAAATAACCCATGCGCCATCCATTATTTTAATACTCTCATCGCAAAACATAAGTCCTAGTAGGTCCTTTCTTCAGGGTCCTGTCTCTTCGGGATGAAATTTCCGGCGGGGGATGGGGAAATTTTGCTAGGGTGTAGTCCGCTGGGATTTTATAACCTGATTCCGGTGGCGTGAGATGGTAGGGTTAGTGTTATTCCGAATTTATGACAAACCCAAATATGTGTGTATCCCACCCCCCTCACACAAAAATCCTTGCTCCCACATCCTATATATCCTAGCCCCCTCAAACCAAAACCTCGCATATCCTCTCACTTAACCCCCGCACCCCAACCCCGTCCCCTCCCCCATCTCCCCATCTTCCCTCTATTCCCCCCTCTATCTTCCCTCCATCTTCCTTCTATCACCCCCCCCCCCCCCCCC